TTATGAGGAGGTATGACCTTGCGGGTTAGATTCGTGTGTTCTGTTCCTATGATGTGAGACGGGTTCTCAGCCTTGTGTTGTGGTGGTAGTGGTGAGCTTGAGGTATAGCTCTTTCATTTGAGTCATTTCATGATTTGAGTATGTTTGGACCGTTGCTTATTGGTGCGCGTATTAGGTAAGTTGTGGCTTAGGCCTATGTTGATGTGTCATGTCACCAGAGTGGTGTTTTGGATTAGAGGAGATTGTTGGGATCATTAATGAATATGAACAAACTCGATTTCATCATGTTGGAAGGATAGTATCGAGCTTCGGTTCAAAAATTTGCTGTGGTATTTTCCAAGGAAGAAGTGGTTTCATGAATGGTTGATCTAGGAAATGGTTATGGCTTACATGTCTTAGTGATCATTGGCAGTATATGAAAGTGTTGGGATAAGACTTTAGTTGATATGAGTTTTTCTATCGGTATGTGGATGTTGTGTGTAGCTGCTGTGATTAGAAGTTATCACTACAAGTATTGAGTTATGTGGTATATCATGTGATTGCACCAGATATAGCATATATGGGTGATTACAGCTTGTTCGGGCTTATTCGGAAAATAGATGTGAGATTATGATCTTGTGAATGATTTCAGAAGAGGAAATGTGGTTCCATGGTTTATGGACTAGGATGAATTGTGAAAATTCAGTTATATTGTGTTATCGAACCTATGTGAGATAGGGTGACATGGGATCACCCCCGGGCATATGCATGGTAAGGTTATTCAGCGATTGGTTGGCTTTTAGAACAGCTCTGGGCACGTTCGCGGACGAACGTATGTTTAAGTGGGGGAGGATGTAATGACCCGACCGGTCGTTTTGAGCTTTTGCATTTCGCTCGCCAGTTCTCGGGCTTGACTTGCCCTGCGTGATGCAATATGACTTATGTAAATCGTTGGTGTTGGGTTTTAGGTTAATCAGAATTTAATTTGGAAGAATAGTCTCAGTTGAAAGCTTAAAATTTGAAAGGTTTGACCAATATTTGACTTGTTTGTATATGATCTCGGATTAGAATTTTTATTATTTGGTTAGTTCTGTTAGGTGATTTGGGACTTAGGAGCGTGATCGGAATGCATTTTGGAAGTCCGTGGAAGGTTTAGGCTTGGATTGGCGAAATTGAGATTTCAACACTTTTTGTTTGATAAGTGAGATTTTGATATAGGGGTCGGAATAGAATTCCGAGAGTTGCAGTAGTTTTGTTGTGTCATTTGGGATGTGTGTGCAAAATTTCAGGTCATTCGAACGAGATTTGATAGACTTTTTGATCGAAAGCATAATTTAAGAGTTCTTGGAGTTCTTAGGCTTGAATCCTATGTTAAATTGGTGATTTGATGTTGTTGTGATCATTCCGAAGTTTTGAACAAGATTGAACGATGTCATGGGAAGTGTTGGTACAATTGGTTTGAAGTTCCGGGAGTTCCGGGTAGGTTCCGGGATATTTTAGGTCAAAAATCATAGTTGTAGCAGGTCCAGAAGGGTTGCAGGCCTCGAAACTCACCCGCGCAGTCCGCACAAAAAGAAGTGCGGATGCGGTATGTGTTGTGCGGACCACACAAAATGAAGTGCGGCCGCGGTAGGTGTTGTGCGGACCGCATAAAATGGTGTGCGGCCGCAGTGAAGAACATTTCGCTGGTCCTACTTCGGAAGCTCATATCGTTTGATCTACAAGGAATTTTGAGATGATTCAAAAATGAAAGTTGTAACTCTTAGTGTCTAGTTTCCCGAAAGGTAAAGATATTGTAATTTGGACATATGTAGAGAAAGTTATGGCCAATATACTAAAGCCTGCCACTGCAGAGGAAAGCTTGTGCGGCTGCGGTCATTTTTGTGCGGACCGCACTGGTTTTGTGTGGACCGCGGTCAATTTTGTGCGGCACGCGGAGGTGGAAATCTGTGGGGTACTCTATAAATACGAGGTTTTGGGTTTTATTTGATATTTTGACCTAGAAACCTCAGATTTTGGCGATTTTTCAAAGGTTTTCAAGAAATTCATCGGGGTAAGTGATTCTTACTCAAATTATGCTAGAGTACATGAATCTATCATTGAATTCATCATTTAATTCGTGATTTGGGATGGAATTTGGGAAGAAAATTGTGAAATCTTTCAAAAATATAAATGATGATTTGAAGGACCAAATGGTATCAGAATTGGATAATTTTCGTATGGATAGACTCGTGAGAGTATAATGATTCTAGTTTGTGAATTTTGTCAAATTTCAAGATGTGGGTCGGGGTCGGGTTTGACCAATTTCTAGAATTTTGTGATAATTCGATCGTTTTCGCTTGGGCTCTGTTCCCTTAGCATATTGTGACGTATTCGTTCTGATTTTGGATAGATTCGACGCGCGTGGAGGCCTATTCGAGGGGCAAAGGCGTCGCGAGCTAGAGAATTAGCCGGTTCGAGGTGAGTAATTGTTGTAAATGATATCCTGAGGGTTTGAAACCCCGGATTACACATCGTAATGCTGTATTGAGGTGAGACACGCATTGGGTGATGAGCGTGGGGTCTTTTACTATTGGGGATTGTGACTTGGTCCATCCCGATTGATGATTTTACCGCGTATTTGGCTGAAACTTATTTGTTATCTCATGATTTGAGCTGATTGCCATATTTGGGCTTCGTGCCAACTATTTGAACCATCAAGGGATTTTTATCACAAATTCCTCACTGTTTGACTTATTAATTGAACTCAGTCCTGTTGATATTTACTGTTTTACAAACTCAGCCACTTTTATTCGTATTTGAACTTAAATGATATTTCTAAATAATGTTTTGGGCTGAGAACTACTGTTTTACTAATGCCTGAGGGGCTTGTGATGATTTTTGGACTGAGTAAGGCCGAGGGACATATGTGAGGATATGCTGAGTGATATGAGGCCGAGGGCCCGAGATACTTTTTATTGCCACGAGATGGGTTGATATTGCACTTGGGTCGTAAGGGGCCCCTCCAGAGTCTGTATCCCCACAGTGAGTGCGGGTACCCATCATGATTTGAGAGTGACCCGAGGGGCTGATACTGTACTGAGAGTGAGCCCGAGGGGCTGATACTGTTCTGAGTGATTGTAACTGTGCCCAAGGGGCGGATTTCTACTTGTTATTCACCTGCTAACTACCTGTTTTACTTGGTTTAAAGGAACTTCATTTGATTTCTTCATGGATTTACTGCCTTAAGTGATTTACTGTTTGATATAGAATTGCTTTGTGCCTTTACGTGTTTTCTTGCTTTCAGCCATTATTTATGATTATTACTCACTGAGTCGGAGTACTCACATTACTCCCTGCACCGTGTGTACAGATTCAGGCGTCACAGAGTCCGCTCCTGAGTGCTGATCCTCCTAGTCCAGGCAGTGTTTTCGGAGACTACGAGGTAGCTGCTGGCGTCCGCAGCCCCCGTGCCTCCCTTATCTTACTATTTTCATGTTCTTAAACTTCTGTAACGGATTTCATATCTAGTAGACTGGTATCCGGAACCATGACTTATGACACCCCGGTTTGGGTTGTGTCGGGATGGTTTCTATTGTTATTATCGTTAATTCCGCAAATTATAGTTATTATATCATGTTTTAGAACTACTATTGGTATTTAACTATTTAAAAGAGGTGGTCTATTTTGGTCTGGCTGGCCTTGTCTTCTCGAGAGGCGCCATCACGACCGAGTTTGGGGAATTGGGTTGTGACATACGAGCTTTAGCAGGCACGGGCAAAGATCCAAGAAAACCAGAAGGGATAGCAAAAAGGGGTATAGATACATATTATTGGTAATTAATAGGCATTAATTACGAAAAACGTTATAGAATTTGTATTGAATCGGTTACGATTACTAATTATAATGTTACATTAAATGCCATTAATTGTCCATAATGACTCCATTATGAAAGGAGAAAAACGTATTACTTAGAAATAGCTATAAAAGGTGAGGACTGAACATTTGTTAGGACACAAAATACTATTGGAATATACTAATTTACTTTGTTTCTATTCAGTTATTACTTACGTCAATTATTCCTATTTCTACTTGATTATCAGTAACCCGAGTTCTTCTAAAAATAAGCTTTGACCGAAATTCCTATTTTTGGTTAAACAAATTGGTTCCGTTACTGGGAATCTGATATTCATCTGCTTTCCAAATCGATTCTTTTATCAAAAATGATTATGTCGAATGTCAACAACAATAACCAATACAATTTACCACCTCTAGATCCACAACATCATATGAACGACCAGATGGGAGGAGCCCACCTCCTTCGCTACAACATTCTTAGCGATAGTCACGAAAGGGGACTCCAAACGGATCTGAATCAAATCAAAATGACATAGTTGCAAATGATCAAGCCCTCGATGAAGCTCTTAAGAAATTAATTGCTCAACAGGTCAATAACGCCCTCCAGGCTTTTACTAGTCAGTTGCCGGTTGCACCACCAACACCAACTCCAAATAACAACACTTTGGAAAACCCACGTCCTGGACTCGTTAATTCAGGCAGTGGTGGAACTCCCGGCGAGTCTCGTGATGGAGAACCAGGTAACATAGTCAATTTCGATTTACAAAATTTAGTATTAACTTTGCAGAAACAGCTCAAGGAGCAAAGAGACTGCATAGAGAAAATACCTAGAGTACCGCCTGTAATCAAGGGAATAAATATGGACAAATATTCACAACAACCTTGGAAGCCCAGTGCTGCTCCTCTACCAATTCCGAAGAAATTCAAGATGCCCGATATTCCAAAATACAATGGAACAACTGATCCACGAGACCACGTGACTGCATTCACAACTGGTGCAAAGGGCAACGACTTGACCAAACAAGAAATTGAATCAATATTGGTAAAAGTATTTCGGTGAAACACTCACTAGGGGAGCATTTACATGGTATTCTCTTTTACCCGAAAATTCTATAAATTCTTTTGCTGAGCTTGCAGATTCAATTATCAAAGCACACTCGGGAGCTCAAAAAGTCTAAAAGAGAATGGAGGATATTTTCAAAATAAAGCAAGGACATTCGAAGCTACTCAGAGAATTTGTAGACAGATTCCAGCATGAAAGGATGATGTTGCCACGTGTACCTGATAACTGGGCAGCTATGGCTTTTGCCAGTAATTTAAATGAGAAAAGTTCAGAAGCCACGAGACGACTTAAGGAAAGTCTACGTGAATTTCCAGTAACCACTTGGAATGATATTTACAATAAATACATCATGAATTTGAGGATAGAAGAAGATACCATTTCTCGGTCTCAAAAAGAGGAGAGGGTAAGTTCGAGACGTGCTGAAACTGAAAAAAGGTCCGATAAAAACAGATACGAGCCCTACATGGGACCAACAGGAAGAAACTCACGTTCAAAGCAGGATAACTCAAGGTACGATCATAGATCGAGAGATAGAGAGTCAGGCTCATCATCAAGGTTTGGAAAAGAGCAAAATGCACAAGAGACGCGAGATGATGATAAAGGCTCGAAGGCAAAATTTGGCGATTACAATTTCAATGTAAGCACATCAGAGTTAGTAGCAGTATTGAGAAGCATGGGTGATAAGGTGCGGTGGCCAAAGGAAATGAGATCAAACCCGAATAGGCAAAATCCTGATTTTTGGTGCGAGTTTCATAACGATCATGGTCACAAAACGGCAGATTGTAGATTACTGCAAGGTGAAGTTGACCATTTGTTAAAACAGGGATATCTAATAGAATTGTTTAGTGAAAAAGGTAAAAAAGCATATATGAAGAACAGGTAGGAGCCCCCTAAACCTCCTTCACCAAAAAGGATCGTTAACGTTATAAGCGGAGGAGAAAAAATTAATGGCGTGACATATACGACAGCCAAGAAAGTTTCAAAGGTTACAGTCACAGCGGGTTCGACGTGTTTTGGAAGAAGAAAGAATTACATTTGATGATGAAGATATAGATGTCGTACTAACTCTACACAATGATGCACTGGTAATATCTTTACTTGTACATGACACTAATGTGAAACGAGTTTTGATTGATCCAGGTAGCTTCGTGAACATCATTTTGCTAAGAGTGTTAAATGAAATACAAGCTGAAGATAAGCTGATACCCAAGGCGCATACTTTATCTGATTTTGACAATTCAAGCGTTGTAACAAAAGGGAAGGTAATACTCACAGCATTTGTAGAAGGAGTTGTCAAAGATACAAAATTTCAGGTGGTAGAGATGGATATGGCTTATAATATGATTCTCGGTAGATCATGGATTCACGAAATGGATGTTGTGCCATCTACCCTACATCAAGTTATTAAATTCCCTTCACGATGGGGAATACGTCAAATCCGCGGTGATCAACAGACATCTAGGAGCATCAACTCCGTAGAAGATTCAAGCGCAAAAAATGAAGAAAAATAGCAATTATAGAATCTAGTTGAGGATGTTGCAACACAAGCCTCAACTGAACACGGGCGGACAGATGTAGACTCGAGGCCCGATTCCATCCAAGAACCGGAAGAAAATGAAACATCAAAACGACGATTGAAGAGTTGGAAGCTGTAGAACTATTCACACCTTTGCCTAAAAGGAAAGTCTACATTGGGGCCATCCTAAGCCACGAAATGAAAGGTAAGTTGACTGAATTCTTGAAAACTAATGTGGATTGTTTTGCTTGGTCCCATTCTGATATGACAGGAATACCTCCAGAAGTAATGACTCGCAAGTTAAATGAAGATCCATCATATTCACCTGTCAAACAAAAGAAAAGAAAGCAAATATCTTTCAAAAATCAGGTGATTCAAGATGAAGTGCAAAAACTTTTAAAAATTGGGTCTATCCGCGAGGTAAAATATCCAAACTGGTTATCTAATACTGTAGTAGTACCAAAAAGAATGGTAAGTGGCGAGTTTGTGTTGATTATACTGACCTAAACAAAGCTTGTCCTAGAGGTTCATTTCCATTACCGCATATAGATCAACTAATTGATGCTACTGCAGGACATGAATTGTTAAGTTTTTTAGATGCATATTCAGGTATAACCAAATCAAAATGGATCTCCTAGATGAGGAAAAAACTTCATTTATAACAGACAGGGGGACTTACTGTAACAAAGTAATGCCATTTGTCCTCAAAAACGCTGAAGCCACATATCAAAGGTTGGTGGCCAAAATGTTTCAAGACCATTTAGGGAAAATCATGAAAGTCTACATAGATGATATGCTGTTCAAGTCACAACAATCAGGGGGTCATATTCAACACCTGTCTGATATATTTCAGATTCTCCGTAAATTTAACATGAAGCTAAATCCCGAGAAATGTGCATTTTTTGTCACTTTTTAAAAAACAACACCTGTCTGATACATCAGGTCCGAGGAACGAGATTGTCACTTTTTTGTAGTATGGAATTGTTCCTGAAGATAAGAAAAAGGCTCAAGCACTTCGCAAAAAAGCTACTCGGTACTGTTTAAAGCAAGACAATCTTTATTATAAAATGTTCGGTGGTCCCCTAGCAAGATGCCTCGAACCTTCTCAAACAGAGTATGTGATGAGAGAAATACACGAGGGGCATCGTGGAAATCACGCGGGAGGAAGATCCTTAGTGAAAACCATGATTAGAGCCGGCTATTATTGGCCCAAAATGGAAGATGCGTAAAATTTTGTGGCTAAATGGGACAAGTGCCAAAGATACGGTAACAATATGCATAGACCTGCAGAATTGTTACATTCGGTCATTGCACCGTGGCCTTTTATGAAGTGGGGATTGGACATCGTGGGACCACTACTGCTAGCCAAAGGCAAGGTAAGATTTTTGCTAGTACTCACTGATTATTTTACTAAGTGGGTAGAAGCATGTGCTTTTAAACAGATACGAGAAAAAGAGGTCAGAGATTTCATTTGGCGAAACATCATATGCCGATTCGGCATACCAAAGGAAATCGTATGTGATAACGGCTCGCAATTTATAGGCGCACAAATCACAATTTTTTTTCAATGTTAGCAAATTAAAAGGATTACTTCAACGCCTTACCATCTGATGGGTAATGGACAAGCTGAATCAACGAATAAAGTCATTATCAACAATTTGAAGAAAAGGTTGAAGGAATCCAAAGGCAATTGGCTAGAGGTGTTGCCTGGTGAGAAAAGCCTTTACCATGAGTTTTCACCTTCCAACCAAACCTATGTGACAGGTTTTTCCAATATCTACCTTCAATTGGAGCAACATTCAATAACATTCCTACCCAACCACAGAAATTGGGAATCTCATCTACAGTTCCCATGGTTGTTAGAAAAGAGGAAAAAGTTAAATAGTAGCGGGAAAAATAAAGGGAAAAGATAGAAAAAGTTGTAAAAGGAAAACTTACGTGCAAAATTCCACTTCTCAGGAAATGGAACATTTTCTTCACCCACTAAACCAACAGTGGGGGCAGCAACAAACCTGGCATACCATCCACGGTCCTTATCATCCTCTAGGCTAACTAACACTCTCTTACTTCTCGCTACTAAAGTAAAAATCCCATGACGGAAAAGTTTAGGGGAGTAGAGATGGATCAAATGAAAGAAAGTAAAAGGCAAATTAGCCATATTTGTTAAATGCCTTAAGCATGCAACAACCCTCCACACAATGGGGCCAATCTGTCCTAAACAAATGTAGAAAAAATGACAGAATTCGATGATAATAGGATCAATGGGGGGTTTAAAATTCAGCGTAAAAGGGTATGTATACACAAAAGAAAACCCGGTCAAGTAAGATGTAATCCTTTGGTTCGCATTGGGAATTATAATGGGGAAATCATGTCTCTAGTGGCAATCCCTACAAACAACAAAGATTAGACCTTCGGTGATTTGAGATGGGTAAATACCAGCACAATCTAAAGAAGACATAGAAGAAACTTGGTTTCTGATCGACTCTCAATCAGTGTAAAAAGATAGTTCAGTAGGAACAATTTCATCTACCAAAGGTTAACGAAGAGGTTCATTAGAATCTTTACTTATAGATGAAGATCTATGGAAAAAAGAATCCCTAGTTCTAGAAGGTGGAGTTCACAGGAGGTATAGAAGAGCCCGTATCGATGAATACCCTAACCTACGAAGTCTTCCTCCTCTTTTACTTCTAACAGGAGCAAGAGGAAGGTCATCAACAATGGGGACTCTTCGAGGGTTAGGGTTTGAAGAAGACATAGCAGTATGAGGAAGAAGAAAACAAGAAGTGAATATTCTAAATTTTTTATGAGAAAGACAAAAGGCAAAAACTATATTTATACTCAGAAGCAACCATCAAAGGAAAAGGTGTAATGATGGAAACGTCATGATGGAAGCTGTCGCTTCGTAATTGATAAAGCCGTGAAAAATCCCGAAAAGACGCTGAAAAGTTGCAGAACCAATCAGAAGATGCCACACACCAGGAGCATTAAATGGAAGTGACATATGAAGTGCAGTTCCAGAGAAGGAATAATGGCAGCAAATATTCCCGCTTTAATGAGATCCACTTCCCAAATATTCTATTGATGAATAAATGGCAAGTGGGGGACTATCTGTATTGGGAAAATTAAATTCATGTATAGAATTAATTATGAGGTGACGTGTCATGTCACGTGGGCTGGTAAAGGAATGACAATTGGCAAAGAATTGTTGAAGAGGCACGAGTTTTGGCCGGCACGGGCAAAGATCCATGAAAACCAGAAGCGATAGGTGCTCGAACCTCTTGGTATTCTGAAGACATATCAGAAGAATGAACCTTGTCGCGCCCCCTTTTACCCTCCATGGAAATTGGGTTTATGACATTTTGGGTATGGAACAACTCTTTCCTTTTGGGAAAGGGGTTTTGCAATTTTAAAGAGTCGTGATGACTATAAAATATTCATATATTATATACTTAAAAATAAATTATTTTAAATAATATATATATAATATGTCAATTATCTTTATTTTCTAATAGTATTTTGCAGGAAATAAAAATATCATGATAAAGCAAATAAAGGAATAAAAAGAGAAGCACGAGGCATCATGGCAATAGAAGCACGACGCATCATGGAAATAGAAGCACGTTGCATCATGGCAAAAGAACCACGAGGCATCGTGGAACCTTATGAGATTTGATTTCTATAAATATGATGTTTGTGTTGAATGGGGGAAGATCATATATGCCTAATTAGCAACTTTTCTCTAGCTTTGGTCTTTACTTCTCTCATTATCTCTTTCACTTTATCTTGTAGTTTTTGAATTTTCTAAGAGTGTTGATAATATTTTAAGAATTTCTTTCTTTGTGAGATTTAAATACTCCATAATGGAGTTATCTCTTTTGTTGGGATAGTTGATGAAGCTAAATGTAGTTATAATATTAATCTCAATTTTACTACACGTTTGACCTGAAATTTCTAATTTTATTTCTATATTGTGATGGAATATTAGTTTTAATTAATTATTATCACTTCTATCTATTTATTCTCCAAAGTTAGATGTATGTCAATTTTGTAATTCTCACGAAGCAAAATTAATATACGATAACTATTGGGTAAAATAATAGAGTGAGAGTAATTTTTTTAAGCTATCATTCCAAGTCTGTAATCTTGCTTACTTCCATTCTAATTCTCACGGAGGAGTTGTAGTTGGCAAGATTATTGATTTTTAGTAAAAAGTAATTGCAAGAGATTTTTGCTATTTTTAGCACAATTCAGGCAAGAAAACTATTTCGGCTTAATCGTCACGAGTCATATATGAATTAATTTACATAACCTCACGGAGTATTGTTAATTGATTATTTCTTAGTGAGCAAAATATAATTGTATTAGCAATAAATAATTATTCCTAAGAAAAATATATGTAGAAGCTAAGAGTTTATTATTATCACGCTATCGAGTGAATTCAATGATTTTCAACTCTTTTTAAATATAAATCTTCCGAAAGTTATTTTGTTTCAACTTAAGCAATTTAAATTTTCAACAAACAAAACTTCATCAATTTGATTCTTTCAAATAGTAGTAAGAATATTATAAGTTTGTAGCTAGATTCTCCAATCTCTGTGGGACGATATCATAAACTAACTAGAATTTGACAGAGCACGAGTAGCAAAATCTTATACGCATTGGCCTCGTCAAATTTTTGGCGTCGTTGCCGGGGATTGGCACAAGTCTACTTCAGACTAACTATTTTGTTACTAATTTGGGAACTTACTTTTAGTATTATTATCTTTGTTATCAGTATTTACTAATTATTACTACTATTACTTTTACTATTACAAGTACTAACATCTTATAGAAGTGTTATTATCATTTATCCTTCTTATCATCATTATAATATAGCAGTCACTATTATTAATACTAGTACTACTTGTAACTATATTCTATATTAGTATTATATTATTATTTTCCATAGTGAGTTACTGTTACTACTTACTAATTTCGTTTACCATTTTTTTTCATAACTTCTATTGCTAATTAGTACTAATATAATTACTATTATCATAGTAATATAACTAATACTACTACTACTACTACTACTACCACCACCACCACTACTACCACCACTATTACTACCACCACCACCACCACTACTACTACTACTACTACCATCACTACTACTACTACTACTACTACCACTACTACTACCACTACTACCACCACTACTACTACTGCTACTACTGCTACTACTACCACTACTACTACTGCTACTACTGCTACTGCTACTACTACTACTGCTACCACTACTACTACTACCACTACTACTACTACCACTACTACTACTAGCTGTTGCTGCTGGTGGTGGTGGTGGTGGTGGTGCTGGTGCCGGTGCTGGTGCTGCTGCTACTACTACTGCTACTGCTGGTGCTGGTGCCGGTGCTGGTGTTGCTGCTGCTACTACTGTTGCTACTACTACTACTACTACTGCTACTACTACTGTTGCTGCTGCTCCTACTGCTGCTACTACTACTGCTACTACTACTGCTCCTGCTCCTACTGCTACTACTGCTGCTCCTGCTGCTGCTCCTGCTACTGCTGCTCATACTGCTACTGCTCCTACTGCTACTACTCCTACTCCTACTACTCCTACTCCTACTCCTCTTCCTCCTCCTCCTCCTACTACTACCACTTTAGGAGTTAAGTTCAGTTTGTTTTCTTTTTAGAATTTTGAGTAGTTTATGACCTGCTCTTCTATAAAAGAGTTGGCCAATTACGATCCTAAAATTGAAAGATCTCTTTGATTGCCTAGGAAAGGACAAACGTCTTCTCAAACAATAGCTTGTGAAGAAATAGAGAATCAGGAAGTAGAAAATATCAACCCACGCGAAGTACCACCACCAGTCCAAATAGAGGATCAATTTGATGAAGTGACGCCAAGGACAACAAACAGAATCCTAAGGGATTATGCTATACTAGACCACTTCAACTGTGAATCTAGTGTCAGGAAGCCCCTAGTGGCAACCAACAACTTTGAAATTAGGACTAGCCTGATTCAAACGATCCAATAATCTTGTATCTTTACTGGAGATTCAAGTGAAGATCCACATAGTCATCTAATTGATTTTTTGGAACTTGTCGAAACAGCTAAGTATATTGGAGTACCTCCTGAAGCTATCAAGTTAAGGCTATTTCATTTCTCTTTAAAAGGAGATGCCAAGACTTGGTTGCGAAGTTTGCCACAAAGTTCCATTACCACATAGGATCAAATGACTAAGAAATTTTAAAACAAATATTTTCCCCAGCTAAAACCACAAAGTTAAGACAATACATATCAAATTTTGGCAGACTGACATAGAGTCAGTTAATCAAGCTTGGGAAAGGTTAAAAGCAATGTTAATAAAATGTCCACACCACGATATTCCTGAACATACGCAATTGTATATTTTTTATCTCGAGCTAAAACCCTCTTCTAGAAATGTGATAGATGCAGCTGAAGGAGGTTCAGTAATGGGAAAAACAATAGAGGAAGCGTTGAAATTGTTGAATGAAATTTCTGAGAATGCCATCCAATGGCCATCTGAGCATATAATTATCAAGAAGGCCGCTACAGTAAATCAGGTTGATGCTTTAAATATACTAACACAGTATATTATTTCTTTGGCACAAAAGTTTGAAACTTTTCAGGTGAATACACAACAACCAAGCCAATGTGAGGCTTGTGACATGTGTGGAGGAAATCATCAGAACCATGAATGTCAAGCAACCAATCACAATTATGAACATGTCAATGTCATCGATTACAAGCAGTATCCTTTTGGAAGTCCAATGGTACAGAAATATCTAGGATTTCAATGGAGCAATCCAAATGGTGCAGAGAACTCTCAAAGCTTCCAGAAGCAACAAATACAGGGTCTACCCGAATACCAGAATCCAAACATGGTTAATCAAACTTTAGACCTTATCAACAAGCAGGGCCCTATCAGCAAAGGCCTCAACAAGCTTATTCAAGTCTTGATGATCTTCTGTATAAGTATATTAAGGTCACTGATGAAAAGATGGAGAGCCAAAATTCATCCCTCAAATATATGGAAATACAGTTGAGCCAATTGGTAGCTCTTGTTTCAGAAAAGATTTAAGGTCCCTTACCAAGCAATACAGAGAAAAACCCAAAAGAGCACCTTAAGGCCATCACCTTACGGTCAGGTAATGAACTTGATGAACCCTAGGCAGACCAGTCAGACCAACAGATAAACAACGGTAAGAATGTTGAAATACCCTCTGAACCATCTGAAAAGAATGAAGTCAAGAAAAAAATATTGAAAAATTGACTCCTCTCCCTGTGACTATTCCCTTTCCACAAAAAATGAAAAGAGAAAAGCTTGACAACCAATTTGCAAAATTTTTGGAGATTTTAAATAAGTTCACATCAATATTCCTTTTACTGATGCTTTGTTACAAATGCCTTCATATGCCAAATTTTTAAAGGAAATTTTGTCAAGTAAAAGAAAATTAGAAGAAGTTTCTATGGTAATGCTTACGGAAAAATGCAGTGCTATACTTCAAAATAAGCTACCACAAAAACTTGGTGATCCAGACAGTTTTACAATTCCATGCACTTTTGGAGGAGTATATTTTGAAAAAGCACTTTGTGATTCTGGAGCTTCAATAAATTTAATGTCATTTTCTATATTTAAAAAGTTAGATCTTGGTGAAATAAAAGACACAAGTGTTTCTCTTCAGTTTGCAGATCAAAGTACTAAGAAACCTAAGGTAATAATTGAAAATGTACTCGTAAGAGTAGATAAGTTTGTTTTCCCTGAAGATTTTATAGTACTTAAAATGAAAGAATGTCCTAATGAACTAATAATTTTAGGTAGACCATTCCTTGCTACAGGAAGAGCAATTATAGGTGTTCATCATGGACAATTAATTTTAAGAATTGATGAAGAAAGAGTCATATTTGATATGCAAAAGATACTAAGATATTCAGGAGATGAAACATCATCTTCATGTTTTTCAATTGACATGATTAGTTATCTTACATATGAATTCAAAGATGATCAATTATTTTCAGATTCAATGGAAAGATGCTTGATCAAATCAGGCACCACACAGGACGATGATCCCACCATCAGAAGAGAAGCTGAAATATTGGACAAAGATTCAGAAGAAGAAGAGATGAAATCCGAACAAGTTCAATAAAAAATTGAACTCAAAACTCTCCCTTCTCATTTGAAATATGTTTATCTTGAGCAAGAATTATTTCCAGTAATTATTTCATCTTCTCTTACTGCAGAACAAGAAAATAGTTTGATTAGAGTATTGAAAGCACACAAAAGAGCCTTAGGGTGGGCTGTAGAAGATATTAAAGGGATTAGTCCGGCTATTTGTACACACAAAATCCTCATGGAGGATAGCTACAAGCCAATAGTCCAGCCGCAAAGAAGATTGAATCCAACAATACAGGAAGTAGTGAAAAAAGAGATCGAAAAGTTGTTGGCAACAAGTATTATATACCCCATTTCTGACAGCCCGTGGGTAAGTCCCATTCAGGTAGTACCAAAGAAAGGAGGAATGACAGTTATAAAAAATGAAATAATGAGCTCATACCTATCATGATTGTTACAGGATGGAGAGTCTGTATTGATTACAGAAGTCACAATGATGTCACTAGAAAAGATCATTTTTCTTTGCCATTTATTGATCAAATGTTGGAAAGAACTGCCAGATATGGTTTTTACTGTTTTCTTGATGGATATTCAGGATATAATCAGATACCAATTGCACTAGAAGATCAAGATAAGACAACCTTCACATGCCCTCATGGAATATATGCCTATAGGAGAATGTCATTTGGTCTGTGCAAAGCTCCTGCTACATTTCAGCATTGCATGCTGACATGACTGACAAATTTCTTGAAATTCTTATGGATGATTTTACACTATTTGGCAAAACATATAAGGATTGTCTTAACCATTTGACCTTAGTTCTTAAAAGATGTGAAGAAACAAACTTAGTTCTTAATTGGGAAAAATGTCATTTTATGGTTACAGAAGGAATTGTTTTAGGACATAAAATCACTATTAAAGGGATAGAAATTGATAAGGCAAAAATTAATCTTATAGCAAGATTACCCCCTCCCACAACTGTGAAAGGAATTAGAAACTTTTTAGGTCATGCAGGTTTTTACAGACGATTCATAAAAGACTTCTCAAAGATTTCAAAACTGCTGACTAGCCTCTTGATGAAAGACACTAAGTTTGATTTTTTAGGTGACTGTGTGAAAGCATTTGAAACCCTTAAAGAAAAGTTATCAACTGCACCTGTAGTTGTGTCCCCTGATTGGAACCAACCTTTTGAGGTCATGTGTGATGCTAGTGATACAACAGTTGGAGCTATTTTAGGCTAAAGAAGGGATAAGATTTTTCGTCCCATTTACTATGCTAGTAGGACATTGAGTGAGACTCAAGTGAATTATGCCACGATAGAAAAAGAGTTACTAGCAGTAGTGTTTGCTTTTGATAAGTTTCGCTCCTATTTGATAGGAACCAAAGTCACTATTTTTACTGATCATGCAGCTTTAAAATACCTCTTAGCTAAGAAAGATGCTCGACCTAGATTATTAAGATGGATTTTACTTCTGCAAAAATTTGACCTTGAGATAAAGGACAAAAAAGGGACAGAGAACCAAGTAGCTGACTATTTGTCTAGATTAGAAAACCCTCCCCTTGAGTTTAATGAGATAAAAGAAGAATTTCCAGATGAACATATTTTTTCAGTTAACACAATTGTGACTCGACCACCCTGGTTTGCAGATATCGCGAACTACTTGGTTGGAAAATGGACACCACAAGATTTCTCTTACCAACAAAGAAAAAAACTTATATCTGATGCAAAGTATTGTCTCTGGGATGAACCTTACTTATTTAAAAATTATGTTGATAATATCATTAGAAGGTGTGTACCTGAAGAAGAGATGAATAAAATTCTATATCACTGTCATGATGGAGCAATTGGAGAACATTATGCAACAAATCGAACGACTTTTAAAGTCTTAGAAGCCGAATTCTTCTGGCCCACACTCTTTAAAGATACCCGAGCATATGTAGCACAATGTGACAGGTGTCAGAGAACAGGTAATATCACCAAGAGAGATGAGATTCCAATGCAATCAATACAGGTAAGTGAAATATTTAATGTTTGGGGAATAGATTTCATGGGTCCTTTTCCTTCTTCTCACTCTTTTGAATATATCCTTGTGGCTGTGAATTATGTGTCAAGATAGGTTGAAGCCATCCCCACAAGAAAGAACGATGCTCGTACAGTGTGCAATTTTCTTAAAAAAAATATTTTTACAGATTTGGCACACCGCGAGTCATCATTAGTGACCAAGGAACTCATTTCATCAATGGGCAATTTTCTTCTTTACTGTCAAAATATAATATGACACACAAAACAGGAACACCATATCATGCTCAAACATAAGGGCAAGTTGAGGTTTCCAACCGCGAGTTAAAAAGAATTCTTGAAAAAACGGTTGGAATCTCAAGAAAAGACTAGGCTTTTAAATTAGATGATGCACTGTGGGTGTACCGTACGGCTTTGAAAACGCCAATTGGAACATCTCCATATAGATTAGTATTTGGAAAAACTTGTCATTTGCCTGTAGAATTAGAACATAAAGCTTTTTGGGCATTGAAAGCACTGAACTTTGATTTAACCTCCGCTGGTAATAAGCGATTTATTCAGGTTAATAAATTGGAAGAACTGAGATTAGGAGCCTATGAAAATGCTAAATTTTTTAAAGAAAAAATAAAAATATGGCATGACAAGTTGATCCGACCAAAGAGTTTCAAAATTGGATATTAGGTACTTCTTTACAATAGCCGACTCAGGTTATTTCCAGAAAAATTAAAATCCAGGTGGACAGGTCCTTACAATGTTACAGGTGTTACTCCATACGGGGCAATTTGTGATGACCCGACCAGTCGTCTCATGAGTTACCGCTCCGTTTCCCCCATTTCTGCTTTTATATGTTTCGTTATCCGTGTTTTATGTGGTCGAGTTGATTGGTTTGCGTTTTGTGTGGTTTTGGTAAGAAATGAGACACTTAGTCTCTTTTAAGAAAGCTTAAGTTGGAAAAGTCAATCGGATGTTGACTTATGAGTTAGAGGGCTCGGATGTGAGTTCCGATGGTTCGGTTACTTCAGGAGGTGATTTGTGACTTAGGAGCGCGATCGGAATGAGTTTTGGGGTTGTAGAGAAGATTTAGGCCTAAATTGGCGAAGTTGATATTTTGGCGATTTCCGGTTGATAGGCGAGATTTTGACATAGGGGTCGGAATGGAATTCCGAGAGAGTCAGTAGCTTCGTTGTGTCATTTGGGATGTGTGTGCAAAATTTTAGGTCATTCGGACGAGATTTGATAGACTGTTTGATCGAAAGCATAATTTAAGAGTTCTTGGAGTTCGTAGGCTTGAATCCTATGTTAAATTGGTGATTTGATGTTGTTGTAAGCATTTCGAAGTGTTGAACAAGTTTGAACGATGTCATGGGATGTGTTGGTACGATTAGTTTGAAGTTTCGGGGGTCCCGGGTAGGTTCCGAGATGTTTTAGGTCGAAAATCATAGCTGTAGCAGGTCCAGGAGGGTTGTAGGCCTCGGAAACCATCCGCACGATCCGCACAAAAAGAAGTGAGACCGCGGTATGTGCTTTGCAGAGCGCAGAAAAAAGAGTGCGGCCGTGGTGGGGAACGATTTGCTGGTCCTATGTCGGAAGCTTATATCTTTTGATCTACAAGGAATTTCGAGATGATTCAAAAATGAAAGTTGTAGCCCTTCATGTCTAGCTTCCAGAAAGGTAAAGATATCGCAATTTGGACATATGTAGCGAATGTTATGGCCAAAATACTAAAGCCTATCACTACAGTGGAAAGCTGTGCGACCGCAGTCGTTTTTGTGCGGACGCACTGGTTTTTTGCGGACCGCGGTCGATTTTGTGCGGTCCGCGTAGGTGAAAATCTGTGGGGTACTCTATAAATATGAGGTTTTGGGTTTTGTTTGATATTTTGACGTAGAGAGCTCGGATTTGGCAATTTTTAAAAGGTTTTTCAAGAAATTCATCGGGGTAAGTGATTCTAACTCAGATTTGGCTAGATTACATGAATCTATCGTTGAATTCATCATTTAATTCATGATTTGGGATGAAATTTGGGAAGAAAATTGTGAAACCTTTCAAAAATATAAAATGATGATTTTAAGGACCAAATGGTATCGGAATTGGATAATTTTGGTATGGTTAGACTCGTGAGGCTATGAGGATTATGAAAATGTAAATGTTACCCCATTCCGAGACGTGGGCCCTAGGGATCAGGTTTTGCTAATTTCGGGATTTTTGATATTTTTTGAATGTTTTCGCTTGGGCTTTGTTCCCTTAGCCTATTGTGATGTATTCGTTCTGATTTTGGATAGACTCGACGCATGTGGAGGCCGATTCGAGGGGCAAAGGCATTGCGAGCTAGAGAATTAGCCGGTTTGAGGTGAGTAATGATTGTAAATGATGCTCTGAGGGTTTGAAACCCCGAATTACACATCGTAGTGCTATATTAAGGTGAGACACGCGCTAGATGATGAGCGTGGGGTCTTTTACTACTGGGGATTGAGACTTGATCTGTCGCGACTGGTTATTTTACCGCGTATTTGACTAAAACTTATTTGTTGTCATCATTATTTGGGGCTAAGTGCCATATTTGGGCATCGTGCTAACTATTTGAACCCTTTAGGGATTTTGGCTGATTTTCCTCACTATACTTGTTAAAAATCGTATCATCGGTCATGTTTCTCTCTGTTTTAAACGATTCGAGCCGGTTTTGTCATACTATTCCTAAATGAGAGGAATTTGTGGGCTGAGATCCCTATCTTCTATTATTGTGCCCGAAAGGCTGCGAGGTTAATGACTGAGAGGGGTTGAGAACCCAATGGTGAGGATATTATACATGTTATGGATCGGGCTGCACGCCGCAACAATACTTATATGGATCAGGCTGCACACCATAACAATATAGCGCTTGGGCTGTAGGAGCCCCTCCGGAGTCTGCACACCCCCAGTGAGCACAGTTGACTATCTTTATGGATCGGGCTGCACGCCGTAGCGATGTACAGATCGGGATGCACGCCGCAGCGGTTATTCTGATTTCTGTTATTATGAGAGATATATGAGTCGAGAGCCGAGAATGAGCACCAAGTGATGAGAGTGAGCCCGAGGAGCCGATATTGTTCTAAGTGATTGACACTGTGCTCGAGGGGTGGATTTCTGTTTGTTATTTACCTACTAAATTACCGGTATACCTGATTTAAAGAGATTTCAATTGCCGTCTTCACTGACTTACTGCTTTAAGTGATTTTTACTGCTTGATATAGAATTGCTTTGTGCCTTTACGTGTTTTTTTGCTTTCAGCCATTATTTATGATTATTACTCACTGAGTTGGAGTACTCACAATACTCCTTACACCGTGTGTGCAGATTTAGGCATCGCAGAGTCCGCTCCTCAGTGCTGATCCTCCCAGTCCAGGTAGTGTTTTCGGAGACTACGAGGTAGTTGTTGGCGTCCGCAGCCCTGTGCCTCCCTTATCTTACTATTTTCATGCCCTTGAACTTCTATATCGGATTTTGTATCTAGTAGACCGGTATCCGGATTTATTAGTTGCTCATGACTTGTGACACCCCGGTTTGGGTTGTGTCGGGATGATTTCTACTATTGTTATCGTTACTTCCACAAATTATGATTATTATATCAAGTTTTAGAACTATTTATGGTATTTAACTGTTTAAATGAGGTGTTATGCTTTGGTCTGGCTAGCCTTGTCTTCATGAGAGGCGCCATCACGACCGGGTTCGGGGTTAGGGTCGTGACACAATTGAAATTCAGAAAAATGGAGGAGACAAGTTTAAGGTAAATGGTCACAGGCTAAAATTGTACTATAGAAGACATTTTGAACAACATCCATCGGTTACTTTGATAGACTGATGAATTCTGCAATTAATAAGTCGAGCTGACGACGTTAAACTCAGAACTAAGATACAAAACCCGTAGCCATTGAGGGAGAAGCAGTGGAGCCTCATAAGCCCGACATAGATTTGGGTAATTAAATGCTTAATCAATTGATCTGGTCAATATCCAGGTTATTGTACAACCAGAACATCTCATGAAGGCCTCTACAAAAACAGAGTCACCTATGTAGGAGTAACTCCATGGTGATCGGTATGCCTAAGTAACCGGTTGATTAACCATTTAATGAATCAATTCAAAATGTTGGCACATGTAAATTTGTTGGTTTATATTTAAACCAGGACCAAATGACTGATAAGGTCTTAAATTAGTCAGTCTATTACATATAAAAATATGTGTTGTCACACACTCTTTCAAGTTTTTTCTTTTCTCTCTCTCTCTCTCTCTCTATATATATATATATATATAGATCCATCTTTTATTTTATTCTTAGTTGTTGTTCTTGTACAATATTAAAGTTTTAAAGTAAAAGTTTACATATTTTTCAAACATAACTTTTTTTCATTTATGCCATATAACTTCCAAGTTTGTGATTTTATTTTTGTGAAGGCAAGAACGAGTATCTCCAAATTTGAGAAAGTGTTGTAATTGAGAAGCATTATGATCTCATTAGGTAGAATCAATAAAATTCTGCTAGAACTTGCCCCAAATGTCTATCAAAGAGAAATTCTGGACAACACTATTTTTAGAATGAAATTAGGCTTTCTTTGACACCTTTTTTAGCCTATCTATTTTTNAGAATACTTATGGAGTAAATGTTCTATTTCACTCTTAAAAAAGAGAGGAAAACAAGGTGTATATACCTGTAAAATAAATTAATGGTTCAAGAAGCTTGAATTTAAGAAATCTATTGAGAGAAATGATGACTTAAGTGATATTAATTATGAAATTGGAGACCGGGACCTTTAGCCCAATCTCTAGAGTTATTTTCTTGTGTTGAGTTGTACATAGTTACTTTGATAAAATAATCGGCTCTCATANTGAAATTGGAGACCGGGACCTTTAGCCCAATCTCTAGAGTTATTTTCTTGTGTTGAGTTGTACATAGTTACTTTGATAAAATAATCGACTCTCATATTAAAGCTGGATGGAACAAATTCACTACAAATATATCTTTTTACCTTACCAGCATTAAGCCTATCGTTACAAGCCTGAAAAAGTTCTAAAATAATTTTAGAAATTATTGTTGATTCTACATTAGTGGAGACTGACATGAAGGGCAAGCCTATGGACAAAATTTGAGAAACTCGGAATTGTAATCATAATATTATCAATCACAAAAGGTTCATCAAAAGAGGAGTTGAAAGTTTTTGGCAAACAAAAGCAGAAGCAGAAACAAGGTATAGATTTGGCGACTTGAAAAACTTATAGGTTTTGAATTTTATGTGAAACTTTATTTTTTTACTTTTCTACTCTACAAGAAACAACAATTATTAATAAAATTACTGCCTCGAGGACGAGCAAGGATTCAAGTGCGGGGGAGTTTAATGACTATAAAATATTCATATACTATATACTTAAAAATAAATTATTTTAAATAATATATATATATAATATGTCAATTATCTGTATTTTCTAATAGTATTTTGCAGGAAATAAAAATATCATGATAAAGCAAATAAAGAAATAAAAAGAGAACCACGAGGCATCATGGCAATAGAAGCACGAACATCATGGCAAAAGAACCACGAGGCATCGTGGAACCTTATGAGATTTGATTTCTATAAATAGGATGTTTGTGTTGAATGGGGGAAGATCATACGTGCCTAATTAGCAACTTTTCTCTAGCTTTGGTCTTTACTTTTCTCATTATCTCTTTCACTTTATCTTGTAGTTTTTGAATTTTCTAAGAGTGTTGATAATATTTTAAGAATTTCTTTCTTTGTGAGATTTAAATACTCCATAATGGTGTAATCTCTTTTGTTGGGATAGTTGATGAAGCAAGATGTAGTTATAATATTAATCTCAATTTTACTACATGCTTGACCTGAAATTTTCTAATTTTATTTCTATATTGTGCTGGAATATTAGTTTTAAATAATTATTATCACTTCTATCTATTTATTCTCCAAAGTTAGTTGTATGTCAATTTTGTAATTCTCACGAAGCAAAATTAATATACGATAACTATTGGATAAAATAATAGAGTGAGAGTAATTCTTTTTAAGCTATCATTCCAAGTCTGTAATCTTGCTTACTTCCATTCTAATTCTCAAAGAGGAGTTATAGTTGACAAGATTATTGATTATTAGTAAAAAGTAATCGCAAGAGATTTTTGCTATTTTTAGCACAATTCAGGCAAGAAAACTATTTCGGCTTAATCGTCACGAGTCATATATGAATTAATTTACATAACCTCACGGAGTGTTGTTAATTGATTATTTCTTAGTGAGCAAAGTATAATTTTATTAGCAATAAACAATTATTCCTAAGAAAAATATATGTAGGAGCTAAGGGTTTATTATTATCACGCTATCGAGTGAATTCAATGATTCCCAAATCTTTTTAAATATAAATCTTCTGAAAGTTATTTTGTTTCAACTTAAGCAATTTAAACTTTCAACAAACAAATCTTCATCAATTTGATTCTCTCAAATAGTAGTAAGAATATTATAAGTTTGTAGCTAGATTCTCCAATCTCCGTGGGACGATATCATAAACTATACTAGAATTTGACAGAGTACGAGTAGCAAAATCTTATACGCATTAGCCTCGTCAAGTCGCCACCTAATGATTTTAAGGTGCATTAGGGCACCTATAGGGTTTATTTATAACTACGTTTGGAAACAAGAGATAGGGTAAGGGATTGAAATTATCCTAAGGGGAAGGTGTTAGGCACCCCTCAGGATCCATTAGCGTGGTTCCCAGCCAAACAGTTTTTGTGAATTTATACAAGTAGCAAACAAGTATGGCTAAATAGTAGGAGATTTAAATTTAAATACACAGGTGTTTGAAAACGATTAGTGAAAAGCAAAATTTTGAAAAGAATTACAATATAAGCATGCTTATGAATGTAAAGAGGGGTGTCCTAGGTTTTTTTATAATATGGTTCACGTCAATACAATACCCGGTATGAAACTCCTCAAAGAGGGGCTACACGTGGTATTAACGCACTGGTCATCATATCCATAACTACCCTTTCCCGCCCCGTAAAGTTGATTGAAGCGAGGGTTGGTCTCGACCCCTATTGCATGCTGTTATCCGTCCATTCCTATCAGTCCCGGAGGAATTTAGGACTCCTATCCTATAAGAAGGAGGTTCTAGGCAGACCCTCAAGTTTAAAAGGCAAAATACTAAGGTGACATACAAAACAGGTAGGACTACATTTAAAGGGGGAAAACTTAGAAACAAGTAGAAGGCTCAGATATACCTCCACAAATAATACACATAGACAACATGATTTATACGCAATTAAGGTCCATATTTGAATGCTAAAGCATTGTATCTAAGTGATATCAGCAGAACCAGATTTATTACATGATTCAGAAAAGAAGTTTGAATTAGGTTTGCCTACTGATTTTAACAGTTGAAAATTAAACAAAGGTAGTTCCAATTTTATTTAAGTTATTACCTAAGGCTTGCCTAGGCGTAAAGCAAGATGCAGTAGTTATTCAGAATTATTAAAAGATGGTTTGGAGCTTATTTTTACCCTAAGAGTATGTTGTTCTAGTCAAATGCAGAGATTATTACCAGTTATTTTAAACGGGAGAATCAAGTGTGAAGCTGTTTTTACCTCTTTTATAATCAGCAATAATTTACACTAAGTGTGAATGCAAGTGCAAATAAGATCCTAAAACATGGTGTCTAAGGTGCATATACAAAACTCGTGACGCAGAATTCCTAGAGCAGGATTTCTAAATGCATATGGAAGGATTACAGAATTTCCTAAGAGCAGGATTTCTAAATGCACATGGTAGGATTGCAGAATTTCCCTAAAAGTAGGATTTCTAAGTGCATAGACATAGAGCATGGATCAATGAATGAGGTGTTGAAGCAAGAAAGATATGTCCTAGAACATGATTTCTAATGCATTGTATGGATCCTAAGCATGGTTTCTATTGCACAATTAGGAATATAAACCTAATAACATGTTTTCTACCATTAACAAATTATGGCATGCATATTTACCCGATCCCTTTTCACTAGCCACCCCAATACTTGTTTACAAATTATTATAGACCAACATTACATAAGTAGCAATGAGAAATAAGAAGTTATACTATAGAAATCCTGATTAGGACTTCCTCTCTGAGTTATGTGATAAACCACCTCAAGTGCCAATATTGTTCCATAGCCTTTCTTATACCTGGGCATGTCAGAGTTCCCTAAGGACCTCCAGGGATCCCGAGCAGTGCTCACACCCACATTATATAACTAAGACAGAGTAAGTGCAGTGTGGAAGGGAAAGCTTTTATGTGTCCAAGTTCAGAGGGAGCTCAAGGGTCCCCAAAGTAAGGCTCGCACAAAAGGGGCAGAACCTAGTGGTCTAAGAGTACATGTGAAAGTGCTTGACATAGATTCAGAGGAGTTGAGTTTAAAAAAATAGTTTTGAATATAGTCATGTCTGAAGTGAGTTTGCAAAAGACAACAGAACAGTTTTTGAAAAGGAGCAACAACACCACATACAGAACAAGATCAAAGAGTAGTGCAACTTCAGGAGTTACAAACAGGGAAGTGGGGGTTGGGGACATAGAGGGCCCAAATAAGAAACACATAAGCATGGCTGAGAAGAGATGCACATAGACTAGCAATTACAAGGACTGAGTAGGGGCTGATTGGTCTTCAGAACACAAACAACTACTGCAAGGGAATCATGCTTGAAATTATAATAGTAGGAGGGGACAGGGTACGAGAGTGACCATGCAGGGGTCTATTACACATAATTAGTCATGAATTAGTGTCAATCAGATACAAAAGGAGACATACTAATTGAGGGACATAACCAAAACTCAAATAGACATGCTGATTATATTTTGAACAAAAGAGGGCAGAACTTAAACATGCTGAGTAAAGCAGTGAACAAGAAGTGAAATCAAACAACATGAGCCATTAAGTTAATGCAGAAAAAGACAGGGATTGACAAGCAATGGAGCACATAGGGTTGAGTTTCAGAATTGAACTAGGAACGTACAAGTTAAGGAAGCAAAGTGTAGGAAAATAAAGCAAGTAGAG